TTAGTTTATTCTCAACATAGAAGGGTTCAATTTAGAATGTAGTCTATCTGTCCCAGTCACAAAGAAAACAATTAAAATTCTTACCACTGCCTGTGAGAACCTACACTACCAGGCACCCGTCTCATCTCTGATCTTCTTTCTCTCTTACTTTCCTTCTTGTTCACTGGTTATGAAAATTTCCATTTGCCTTTCCAGAGCAAGACTTAGCATGTTCCTTTCCCTCTACACAAAATGCTCTGTCTCTAAAAATCTTCATGGCCCACGAAGAATTTACTCAAAAGTTCTCAGTGAGATCTTTTCTGGCCATTGTCCAATTTAGCTGTGCTGGTTGCTCAGTGATAAAGTACTATTTGCCTATAATTAACAAGGCTTTGGGTTCAATGCTCAGCACTGAAGAAAAAAAGAAAAGAAAATTGTCATTGGCTACACAGAAATATACTTTATAGCCCTTCCTATCTTACCTTCGTTATTTGTATTTATCACCTTCTAATATTTTACAACTTTTATTATTTTTCTTATTTACTGACTATCTTTTTCCCAACTAGAATATGTCCATCTAGAAGACTAGCAAATATATTACATATACACAATAAATATTTTATTAAAATATTTTTAAAACAACTTATTGTTTTTTAAATTTTTTTTAAGTTGTCAGTGTATTGCCTATATGCAATGCCTGTGGAGGTAAGAAAAGGGTATCTAATTCTAATTCCCCTGCAACTGGAGTTATGGACGGTCGTTAGCTGCCATGTGGGTACTGAGAATTGAACCCAGGTCCTCTGCAAGTGCAGCCAGTGCTCTTAACTGCTGAACCATCTCTTCAGCCCCTTTTATTAAAATATTTTATTTACTTTATTTATGTGTGTTGGTGTTTTGCCTACACATATATAGGTACACCACATGCATGCAATGTCCACAGAGTCCAAAACAGGACATTGAATACCTTGGAACTGAAGTTACAGATGGTTGTTAGTTACCATATGGGTGCTGGGAACTGAACCTGGGTCCTCTGCAAGAACTCTTAACCACTGAGCCATCTCTCCAGTCCTCACAACAAATAAAAAGAATGAAGCAATTGGGCCTGTTATAACCCAAAAATTCAGA